ACTGTTTCCTTGCTTTATTCCCAAAGTAATGGGTATTGGTATTTTTCCTGAGAAAGTTCAATTTACATATTTATTTATAAAGGATTGCCATCATATCTTTACCTAAGAATATGTCTATTTATTAAAATCTTTTTAAATGACCTTTCATAGTGTTTCTACATTTTCATCATGTGAATCTTACCTATTTCTTAGATTTATTCCTAGGTATTTTGTTTCTTGTTTTTGTAAATTGGGTATTTTTGTTATATTTTCTAGATAATCATTCATATATTGGAGAACTATTAATTGTGTTTTAATTTTGTTCTCAGCCACCTTACTAAATTATCTTACTCTTGGTAACTAATTTTTTTTAAGTTGACTTTCCTGAATTTTCTGCCATAGCATCATCTTATTTGCAAATAGTAATGTTTTCTTCCTTTTCCTTCATGATTTTATATATATATATATGTATATATATATATATTTTTTACTTCTCTAATGACATTGGCTAGTATTGGCCAAAGCTAAATAATACTGGTAATAATGTGCATTCTAGTTTTGTTTCTGATTTTAATGGGACTCAATGTTTCACTATATGGTTTCTAGCCTTTGAAATGATATATGTATATTTTTCATGCTAAGAAACTATTCATCTATTACCTATATGGATAGATTTTTTTTAGATGCCTTTTCAGCAGGTACAGGAATGTTCATATAGTATTTCTTTTTTGACATATGTTTAAGTTGTATTACAATAATCATCTTAATATTGAGCCATCTTTGCATTTTAGGTATGAGTTTTACTTAATCATGATATATTTGATTAATGTGCTAGAATCAATTGGCCGATATTTTCTTTACAGTGTTTAGGGATTGGACTGTCTCAATGTTATACTGAATCGACAAAAAGATTTTGGAAATGTTCCTTTTAATTGTCTAGAACCATTTAAATAATATTAGAGTTACATATTTCTTAATAGAATTCACTCATAAAATTTTCTGAAAATTGATCTATTTGTATTTTCTTCCTTTTCTGGGGTCAGTTTTAATAATTTATATTTCCCTAATTATGTATTACATATATTTGCATAAAGCCGAACAATATATTCTCATGATTTAATTTCCTAAGTATCTATGCTCATTTCTCCATACTCATTTTTTACATTTATATATGTGCTTCTTCCTTTTTTATTTATATTGTTCGGCTAGCTTTCCTAGATCTTTACCTTTTTATTTTTCTTTAAGAATATTCTCTAGGATATATTTATTTGGTCTATAGTTCTCCTGTTTTCTAATTCTTAAATTGTTGTTTTTATCTTTATAAGTATCTCGTTGCCTTTGTTCTTAGGATTGCTATGTTGTTCCTTTTCTAACTTACTGAATTGGACACTTAATTATTTTCATTTTCCATTTGTCTCAATTGACAGAGGCTATTTTTAGTAGTTTTTTCAAGAAAGATTCCTAGGAATTGTGTTCTCTAGGTATTTGTATGTTTCAAATCATCTGCATGTTGCCTTTATGCTTAAACTATACTTTGGCTGGAAATAAAATTCTTGGATCAGAGTATCCCTTAGAATTTTGAAGACCGTGAATTTCTACAGTATTGAATAGTGCTTTAAAGAAGTATGAAGCATCCTGATTTCTATCTCTTCCCCTTGAGGTGATTTGATTTTCTGTCTGAAAGATCATATCTTTGAAGTCTAGTAACTTTATTAGGACATCTTCTAGTGCTGATTAATCTTTGTTGGTTCTTCCTGGAAGATGGTGTGCCTGTTCAAATCTATAGATTCAAGTTGTTTTATTTCAAAAAAATTTTCTTGAATTATACTGTGAATGTTTTTTGTGTGCTGATTGTTCTGTTGTCTTCTGAATGAATATTGAACATTAACCCTTTCTTATCTGTCTTCCATGTAGGTGATTTTTCCCTATAATTCTTTAAAATTCTTTTTTTTCTTTTTGATTTTTTTACAAATGTTATTTATATTCTTAAACTGTAACTGTTAAGCTGTTACTCAAGTTTTCTTTTTTTTTTTTTTTAAAGATTTTATTTATTTATTTGAGAGAGAGAATGAGAGAGAGCACATGAGAGGGGTTAGGGTCAGAGGGAGAAGCAGACACCCTGCCGAGCAGGGATTCCGACGCGGGACTCGATCCAGGGACTCCAGGATCATGACCTGAGCCGAAGGCAGTTGCTTAACCAACTGAGCCACCCAGGTGCCCTGTTACTCAAGTTTTCTTAAGACTATCTTCCCATTTCTTTAGCTTGTTTTCAACAATATCTCTTCTTCTTTCTGCAGTTTCCATTTCTGTGAAAATTGAGTAACAGTTTAAGAATAAAAATTTTTTTTCTACATCTTCCCTGGGCTCATTCGGGTCAATTTTATCTTATCCGAAGTTGTCTTATCATTTCTTCCTTCAGTCCTTTTACCTGTGCTTTGAACTCTTAACTCATGGAGGCCACTTTTTCACCAAGTTCTTTGAATCCATATTTTAGTCACATTTTTCAACCATTCCACAGTTTTTAGTCACATTTTCCAACCACTTAGTCACATTTTTAGTCACATTTTTCAACCATTCCACAGTTTTCTGACATATGTTGAATTTGTTTTCTTATTTCTTTTGTCTTTTTTCCTGCAATGGTTTTGTCTCCTCGTTCCTTTTTTAAAAGCTTTATTGAAATATAATTCACATAAAATATAATCTATCCACTTAGAGCATACAACTTGATATTTTTTTAGCATATGCATAAGGTTGTGAAACCATTCCTGATCCTTTTTTGTTATTCTCATTTTTGGATACAGTCCTTTCTGAACCACCTATATGGGGAAAGATAATACGAGAGAGGCATCAGAGGCTTTGAACAACTTCTAGGCTAACAAGTCCTAACTCACAGTAAAGGCCTACATACACAAGGTCTAGTGGAGTGTATTGTGAGTGTGGATTCAGACTTTACACAATATTGATTGAATAGAATTGGTAACTTCAGTTCCATCCATTAACCTAGTTTCCCTACTTCCAGAATTTTTTTTTTGCAAGAATGTCATGTCTGTGTGGTTTCAAAAGGGAGTCATGGAGAATTCTAGAACCAGTTTGCAAACGTCAGCCTTCTTTAAAACAAGTAACTATTGCTTTTGCTCCTCAGGGTACACTAACTAACTTGGAAAACTGTGCCTTGTTGCCTCTGCTTGAGATCTGCAACCATGGATATTGTCTCTTGGCACCCTTTCTCTGACCTAATTTTCACTGTACTTGGCAGCCCTTCTTTATAAGTAAAAAGGTTCAGATCATAAGTGTTGCCTGATTCCTCATAGATAGAGTTTTGGTTTTTTTTTAAAGATTTTATTTATTTATTCATGAGAGACAGAGAGAGAGAGAGAGAGGCAGAGGGAGAAGCAGGCTCCCAAGGAGCAGGGAGCCTGATGCGGGACTCGATCCCAGGACCCTGGGACCATGACCTGAGCCGAAGGCAGAGGCTTAACCATCTGAGCCACCCAGGCGCCCTCATAGATAGAGTTTTTATTTCATTTTTTACCCTTGTTGTTTCTGATTGGTTTTAGAAAGCAGACAGTGCCTGTCTTAGCTCCAGCTGCTGTAACAATATACCATAAACTAGGTGTCTTATAAACATCAGAAGTTTATTCTCACAGTTCTGGAGGCTGGAAGTCTGAGATCATGATTGGGTTCTGGTGAGAGCCCTCTTCAAGGCTGCAGACTCCTCACTGAGAGAACAGAGAGAGGAAGCAAACTCCAACTCTTACAAGGGCACTTACTACATTCATGGGGCCCCCACTCACCCTATTTCCTCCCAGAGACCCTGCCTTCTAATTCCGTCACACTGGAGGAACAGGTGTCAATGTATGAATTGTGGTGGGGGACACAAACGTTCAGTCCATAACAGAGTCAGAGATTTCTTTATTCTTCCATCTTAAAATGTGAGACTGATAGTTTTATTATTTAGGTCTTCTCCTGGTTATTTTTTAAGCTTTAATATATGTAAGCCCTCTTTTCTTGCCCAACTTTAGACTGTATGTATTTTGATTCACTACTTTGTAAAGTAAGAAAATAAAGGTATCTGCAATTCCTTCACCCTTTTTTCTTTATTTTTTGTTTCTTTACTCTATTTTCTGTTACCCTTCCACATCTGTTAGCATTCCAGTATTTTTACAGCATTGAGATTTAAAGCATTTATATTCTTTGTAACTGCAATGAAGTGTCTGGGTGTTTTGTTTTTGTTTTGTTTTGTTTTGGCTTTGTTGGTTTGTTTGTAAACTGGTTCTAAAACCTAGAAAAGAATAGCAATTCGTTAAATTTTTTGGACTCTAAATATTGTGAACTGTGGGGTAAAATAGTATCTTTGGGACCTCAGAGAAGGAAACATAATTCTATGCCACTAACTCTTGAAGGAGAATGTTCCAAGTATCATGTGAAATGAATTCTCTTATACTCTGAGAAAAGTATACTATATTTTAGTTGCTTCACATTTTCTATAGAGTGCCCCCTCCAGGCTTTTAATTACCTTTTTTTCCTTTTCAATATATACATTATTTCTGACATATGCAATATTACATTCACTGTAACATTAAAAAGTCCATCTTTTTTTTTTTTAATTTTTTTATTCTTATGTTAATCCCCTTACATTACAACATTAGTTTTAGATGAAGTGTTCCGTGATTCATTGTTTGTGCACAACACCCAGTGCTCCATGCAGAATGTGCCCTCCTAAATACCCACCACCAGGCTAACCCATCCTCCCACCCCCCTCCCCTCTAGAACCCTGTTTGTTTTTCAGAGTCCATCGTCTCTCATGGTTCGTCTACCCCTCTGATTTCCCCCGCTTCATTCTTCCCCTCCCGCTACCTTCTTCTTCTTCTTCTTCTTTTTTTTTTTCTTAACATATATTGCGTTATTTGTTTCAGAGGTACAGATCTGAGATTCAACAGTCTTGCACAATTCACAGTGCTTACCAGAGCACATACCCTCCCCAGTGTCTATCACCCAGTCCCCCCATCCCTCCCACCCCACCCCCCACTCCAACAACACTTCAGTTTGTTTCCTGCGATTAAGAATTCCTCATATCAGTGAGATCATATGATACATGTCTTTCTCTGTTTGAAAAAGTCCATCTTTTTTCCTATACTATACTATACTAACTTTTTTGATAAAAATCTACTTTCTTCTTGAAGGTTCCTTGCTGGGGTCCAAATGGGAGTAGTTGCTTTCAAAGTCTACTGCTCATCTGTCATCTGGGATTTTTTTTTTTTTTTTTTTTTAGTCACACTCCTACGTAGGTGTCACTTTCTTGAAGCTTCACCTTTTCCCGTACTTCTTTTTTTGTTTAACTAAATACATTCTTAATTTTTTTCTTTAGAAAGTGTGCATGGGATACAAATACCTTGGGACTTACATGTCTGAAAATAGCCATTAATCTACATTCTTACTTGAGTGCTAGTTTAGCTGAGCATAGACTTCTAGACCAAAGGTCATTTTTTCTCTGAGAACTTTTAAAATTTTGCTCTATTCTAGAAAATTATATCTGATGCCATTTTGATTTTTGCTCCATTAAAGGTGATATATCTTTATTGAGGAATAATTGGCATTCAATAAATTGCACATATTTATGTGCAGTTTGGTAAGTTTTACATTTGCATATACCCATGAAACCATCCTTTTCTCCTCTCCTCTACTCTAGATCCCCTCTAATGATCTATCTTTTGGTTAACTAATCCTCTTCTATGTCTATTCAGTTTTTAATTCCTATTGAAATTTTAATTTCGGCAATTTATATGTTCCCATTTGAGAATTTACATTTGATTCTCTCTTTTCAGTATTATTGATTCTAGTTCTCTAGTGAAAGTCTCTTTTTGCCCTATGTTTTCTAGAACATAGTAATCATAATTGAAGTCATGCCTGGGAACTTCAATATCTGTATCATTTGTGAGTTTGTTCTGAAGTCTGTCATACTCCTTGGTTTTTGTCCGTTGATTCTATCAGTTGGCGTGTCTGGTAATCCTTTGATTGAATGCCAGATCTTCTATATGAAAATAGTAGATATAATTTGAGGCTCTGGCTAATGTTTTCTTCTTGCAGAGAAGATTTACCTGCCAGTTGGCAGGCAGAGTAGGGACAGACGACTACACCAGTCTGGGATGAGCTGACTTCAGTCTTTTGAGCACACTGTTCTACTTCCATCTTAGCTATATACCTGTGGTGTTTCTCTTCCAGAGTCTTTACTGGAAGTCTGAGATGTATACCAGGACCCCTCCCCATTAGTATGCACTGATCTCTAACTCTGTCACCCATTCTGAGAGATTGCCCTGAGACTTGATTGGCTTCCCAGGTTCTCAGGGGCTGCCCTTTGCTTCTGAGCCATTTGCTATCAGCAGATTCACTGAAAGGAAAAGTTGTACAGAACGTACCCCCCGTTTTTGGAATTCTTGCCCCTCAAGTCCTATCAGGATCTCAGCTTCCAAATTAAGAAACGAAAAAAGGAGCAAATGAAATCCAAAGTAAGCAGAAGAAAGAAAAGAATATATAGGAGCCCAAATTAATGAAATGGAAAACAGAAAAAACAATAGAGAAAGTCAATGAAACCAAAAACTGATTCTTTCAGGAAAAAAAAAAAAGGTAAACCTCTAGCCAGCCTGATTAAAAAAAGAGGAAGAAAAAGAAAACCCAAGTTCCCATTACATTATCAGGAATGAGAAGTAACATAACTATAGAGCCTATTGATAAGAAAAATAATAAAAGAACAACTTTATGCCAATCCGTTCAACAACTTAGATCAAGTAGATAAATTCCTTGAAAAGAAAAAACCACCGGGGCGCCTGGGTGGCTCAGTTGGTTAAGCGACTGCCTTCAGCTCCGGTCATGATCTCAGGGTCCTGGGATCGAGCCCCGCATCGGGCTCCCTGCTCGGTGGGAAGCCTGCTTCTCTCTTTCCTACCCCCCCTGCTTGTGTTCCCTCTCTCGCTGTGCCTCTACCTCTCTCTGTCAAATAAATAAATAAAATCTTTAAAAAAAAAAAAAAAAAAGAAAAAACCACCAAAGCTCACTTAAGAAGAAATAGGTAACCTGAATTATGCTATATCTGTTAGAGATTGAATTTCTAGTTTAAAACCTTCCTACAAAGAAAACCTCAGATCTAGATGGCGTTACTGGTAAATTAACCAAACAGTTACTAAGAAATAATACTAATTCTACACAAACATTTCAGAATACTGAAGAGGGGAATACTTCCCAGTTCATTCTATGAAGACAACATTACCCCTATCCTGAAACCATAAAACTGGGTGGGGGGGGGAGATCAATATATTGAATATTAACAAAATAAAATACTTATTATCTTGAGGTGTTTATGTAGTGGGGTGCCTGGCTGGCTCAGTCAATGGAACATGCAACTCTTGATCTCAGGGTGTGAATTTGAGCCCTACATGTGGCTTAGAGTTTACTTAAAAAAAATTTTCAGGGTGCCTGGGTGGCTCAGTTGGTTAAGCATCTGACTCTTGACTTCAGTTCAGGTCATGATCTCAGGGTTGTGAGATCAAGCCCAGCATCGGGCTCTTCACTAGACGTGGAGCCTGCTTGAGATTCTCCCTCTCCCTCTTCCTCTGCCCCTCCCCCCTCTCTAATAAATAAATAAATAAATAAAATTTAAAAATTTTAATGTAGAAATAAAATTCATGACAATAATAACACAAAAGGCAAGAAGAGAGTAAAAATTAAAGCATTCTATAGTCCTTGCATTAGTGAAAATATGTTTATGTTAGAGTCTAGCAAATCAAGATGCATGTTGTATTGTAATCGCTACGGTAACCATGAAAAGAATAGTAAAATAATGTACAATTAACAATCTACTCAAAAGGGAAATAAAATGATTAAAAGCATTTGACTGATTTTTTTTTCAAGTGCAAGAAAGGAGAGTGAAAGCAGCATAGAACAGATGGGACAAACAAAGCACGTGGTGAGATGTAGATGTGAACATCGATAATTTACTTTAAATATAAGTACTTGGATTAAAAGGCAAAGATTATTCAGTCCGGATGAAACCACAGAAACAAAACCATGAAGCTTAAGCAGGAGAGCATGCAGGAAGAAGCAGAGAAGATGCATTTGCAAGCGGATTTCAGAACAACCTACCAGGAGTGTTTCTCAGAGTTGAGGGACACGTCTCCAAGTGTGAAACCGGATCCTTTGTGCCCAGTAGCAAGAGGAAAATGCATAGGCTGATGCCAGAACTTTCCCCGAGACCAGATTTGGTTTGAGAAACAAAAAGAGATGGACTAAATGGGGAATCACACACTTGAGTTCAGCAGTGTGTGCCGCTGATAAATGTGTAACACCTGGCTCTCCAAGTGTAATTCCGGCATGAATGTTGACTTTAACAAATCGGATGAAAGTGAAACAATGAAGATATGTTGGAACTTCACTCATCTACCAATGGTCTTTGTGACTTATTTGTGGAATTGGATCATAGTTTTTGAATACTGGAAGAAATAGGTGTTTTTTTTTTTTCTGTTCACAATGCAATGGCTACAGACGTGACGTATTTTTAAGTTTCATCGGCATTATTAACATTTTCTCCATCACTTCCCTAGATCTAGACCAGGGTTCAGCAAACTACAACCCAAGAACCACATTAAACTTAGTTCACATAACTTTTTTAAATTATCCATTCCATTCTAAATATCACAATGCTTTGATAGGCACCAAAATATATGAATGAGCTCTTTTTAGTAGTCAAATGTTTGTACATCATTTCTTTTTTCCTTAAACTTCTATTTTCTTTTCACTTCTTTCACATAATTTTATCCCAGTGCAATATCATTATGCTTAAACATTTTTATTGATTATCCTATCATGTTTCTTGCAACAAAAGTAATATACAAATTATAATTTAATTTGTTTTCATTTCTATGTCCATAAGTCTCATAAATATTGTTTTGTGTGGTTTATTGCAGTTATTGCAGTTATCAGCAGTACAAAAAATAAACATTGTAAATTTTGACAAATAATGATTAAAATGTAAAAGTTTACTAGAAAATTATCATTTAATGATATTGGATGTTGCTAATTGGATTCTCAATTAGTTCATGTAACCACAGGTAAATATTTAAGTATGACTTATTTTCAGAAACAGGCTTAGCATCAGTTCTTTTCCTTTTAGATTTTATGGATGTAAGAGCTGAGAATCCTTGTTCACACAAATAATTGATAGAGGGAAAACGAGTTTTATTTTTAAAATGTCACTCATGGCTTGGAAATCCTTTCAAGTTATATGCCAAAATCGTGTAGTCATCATCAGAAATTGTTATTAATGATCTATCACTGGTAATTTGATTAGATCCTTCCTCAAATTTGTTAAAACCCAGGAATTAGAAACCACCCAACTTGTAAAAAATTTTGTTTCTAGTCTTCAAAGTCGTTCAATTTTTCAATTTTCAATAGTTTTGACAAAGGAGCCTAAGACTTATCATTTACTATTATTTATTCTTGTTATTTTTAGAGAAATCTCATTTTTGTAGCTTAAGTTAAAGTGAGATTTAAAAAACAACAACACAAATATAAAACTTGCAGATTCTTTGGGAACAAAGAATAATCATGCTGAATTTCTGTTTGTAGGACATCCTGAAATATCTTTAAAAAGCGAGACAGGTGAAAAGAGTTGGGTACTCAACAGTTGTTATATAGAGATAAGTTATTTATTAGTGCTTGAAAAGGAGTATGTTTATAATTACATGTTTGGTATTATTAGAAAAGCACATCAAATCTGAGAGGAAGGAATTATCCCTAATTAAATAAAGTTGATTTTGTAAAGTTCAGGATATTATGTTCTAGTTTATGTTTTGGGAACATTTTATCCTACACCTGTACAGAGATAGATGTCCTATTTTTTTTAATAGACTTTTTTTTTTTAGAGCAGTTTTAGGTCACAGCACAACTGAGTAGAAGGTACAGAGATTTCCCATGTATTTCCTGCCATCACTCATGCACAGCCTCTGCCATTATCAACATCCCTCACTAGAGCGGTGCATTTGTTACAACTGATGAACCTACTCTGACACATTATCATCACCTAAAGTCCATAGTTTACAGTAGGTATTACTCCTGCTGTGGTACCTTCTGTGGGTTTGGACAAATGTGTAATGATGTTTTCACCACTACAGTATACAGAGTAGTTTCACTGCCCTAAAAGTCCTGTGCATACCAATTCATCTCTCCCTCTCCTCTAATCCCTGGAAACCACTGATCTTTTTACTGTCTCCATAGTTTTGCCTTTTCCAGAATGTGATGTAGTTGAAATCATAGAGTGCAATCTTTTCATATTGGCTTTTTTTACTTAGTAAAATGCGTTTAAGTTTCCCCCATGTCTTTTCATGGCTTGATTGTTCATTTCACTTTAGTGCTAAATAATATTCCATTGTCTGGATGTTCCAGTTTATCCATTCATACTGAAAGACATTTCGCTTGCTTCCAAGTTTTGGCAATTACAAAAAAAAAAAAAAATCTGCTGTAAACATTTATGTGCAGGTTTTTGTGTGGACATGTTTTCAACCCCTTTAGGTAAATACTAAGCAGGATTTCTATATTGCATAGTAAGAGCATGTTTAGTTTGGTAAGAAACTGTCAAACTGACTTCTAAAGTGCTATACCATTTTACATTTCCAGCAGCAATAAATGAGAGTTCATGTTGCTCCATGTCCTGACCAGCGTTTTGTGTTGTTGGTGTTCTGTTTTGTAGTGGTATCTCATTGTTCTAATCTGCATTTCCCTGATGGCATATAACATGGAGCATCTTTTCATGTGCTTCTTTGCTGTCTGTATATCTTTTTTGGTGAGGTCTGCTAAGGTCTTTGATCCATTTTTTAATCAGGTAGTTTGTTTTCTTATTGTTGAGTTTTAAGTGTTCTCTTTATTTTGGATAATAGTCCTTTATCAGATATATCTTTTGCAAATATTTTCGCTCCAGCTGTGACTTGTCTTTTCATTCTCTGGATAAATGTTCTATTTTTAAGAATGAAATTTAAACTACTCTGTGGAGAGTCTTAGCAAAAGGAAAGTATTAGACCACCAGTAAGTGGGAGACCTACAAAAAGTTTATTAATAATTGTTGCTATGTATATTATTTACATTCAAATCTATAACATATCCCAGTTATAACAATAATACAAATATGTAAATATAAATAATAAAAAATATATATATAAATATAAATCTAATAACACAGGTAAAAAGAATAATTGATCAGCAAGTGTTTGGCTAGTGACAGTGAGGAGGCATACACCCAAATAAAAATAAATATTAGGGTTGGTGTGTGTGTGTGTGTGTGTGTGTGTGTGTGAATAAGGGCATGTTCTTTAGTTACCTAAGAGAAAACTAGGAAAACTACAGTAAAATAATCTGGTGGTAAGCATTGAATTCATTGTAGAACTAAAATTAAAACAAATGTGGGTTTTTTGATTACAGAAGAGAATGTAAATATCTAAACCAAGATATTATGAAAAGGGAATGAAGTAACAAAGTTGAGAGGGGAAGGAAAAAGACATGAATTGTTAGTATAAGCGTAACAAAACCCTTCAAAGTTGGGAGGTCATAAGATATCATTTAATAATAGAGGTATAAATATCCTTTTTAAATGATATTTTTAGAATAATTTTTTTATGGAATACAAAATGCGGAAATACAAAAAATTATAAGTGTGCCAACTGTTGAATTTCACAAAGTAAGCATATAAATATACTCATACTAAAAGGACCTAGATCAAAAAATAGAACATTACCAGCACTCAGAGGCCTCTGCTTACCTTCTTACAGTCACTCAAGGGCATCCATTATACTCAGTTCTAACTGAATATATTAGTTTTGGCTGTTGTCGTGTGTCATGTGTGTCATGTAATTGGATTCATATACTATAATGTGTCTGATTTCTTTTGCTCAGCATTGTATTTTTGAGATTCAGTCATGTTGCATGTAATAGGAGCCCATTCATTATCATACATGTACTCAGTTATATGAGTATATTGCAATGTATCCACTTTACTACAAGGGGGCATTTATTTGAAAGGTTTTAGGAGGAGGCAACTATAAATAATTTTGCTATGAATATTCTTGTACTTGTCTTTTTGGTGAGTATATGCTTGCTTTTCTGTTGGGAATAATTATTTAAGGGGAAAAATAAAATGTATTAATTTAAATAAACAAAAATATTATCCCTGTCATATAACATATAAACTTTGACTATTGATTTCATCAAAAATTAAAACATAACTGAAAAGAAAATGGGAGGGGCACATGGGTGGCTCAGTCGGTTAAGTGTCTGCCTTCGGCTCAGGTCATGATCCTGGGGTTCCAGGATCGAGCCCTGTGTCGGGCTCCCTGCTCAGGAGGAGTCTGCCTTTCCCTCTCCCTTGCCCCTCCCCCTGCTCATGCTTTCTCTTTCTCTCTCTCTCTGAAATAAATAAATAAAATCTTAAAAAAAAAAAAGAAAATGGGGGAGAGGACATGGATAGGCTTAAGAGAGCTATTGCTTTATCTAATAATATAAGAAATCAATAGATAATGTCTAATATAGAGTATTATAAAATATTTTATTATAATTTTAATAGAATATTTAATATTTATGATATATAAACCAAATTTTTCTATTGAAAAAGAAGTTATTTTAAAATAATGTATATAAGGAAACTGTTCACCAGTTTTCTTACTTAAAAAATCAGCATATTAGGATATCAATTAAAAATATGGAGATAAATGTCAAAAGAGGTTGCCCCAAATAATTGAAATTTGTTATCTCAGATGGGTGGGGAAGACTTCTTTTTGTAATAAGTCTTGTAATATCGTCTAACTTTTCTCTAAGCCCCCTGTATTATTTGATTTATTACCATGTGCATGTATTATTTTAGTAAAATTAAGGGTTTTGTTGGTTTGGTTTGGTTTTGCACAAGGACAACCAGCAATAACTTGACATAAAAGTGATTGTGAATCATATAAATGTATCTGACCAAAACTGAACTAAATGTACCCCCAATTCAACTCCCTTTAGCTAGATCCTAAAAATGCCCCCCACCACTTGAAGACCATCCAACACTTAGATGAATGAGTCAGAGACGAAAGTCTAAATGAAAAGAGACCAGTTTTTAACTACAGTTCAGTATCTTTTGCAAATTTTACACAAATATGTGACCATATAAACATAATGTAAGGGACTCTCCCAGGGCCAGGAAGGAGAGGTGCAAGTGTGGGCCTGATAAATCTGCTCCTGGGAGCAAAGGGAAGAAGGTAGACTAAAAGACCCAGACTCAAGCCCAGATCTGCCTTTTAGGAATTATGGGATGCCAAGTACTTACTCAACTTCTTTATGCCTCAGTTTCCCAATCTGTTAAGTGGCAATAATAAACCCTTATGTATTGTGCTGAGATGCTAATAAGATCATGATGATATCATATTAGTGAAATACCAGCTAGCTTCAAAGTCAAAAGCAGTTGGCCCACATCCCATAGAGAAGCCTGGGATCCTCATATCTGTGGTGCAGTAGGAATTTAGAAACCTCTGGTTATCGTGGGGTACGTCCTTAAGTAACTCTGATCCAAATTATCTTAGAGAGGACAATCTAAAAATTCCAAATTAAAGCAATTTTCTTTCATCTTTGACAAACATATTGAGCCAGTCAGATTACTAGTAAATTGTGTTCCAAAATCAGGCCCATCTAGGAAATGAGGTTCTAGATGTCTCCCAAAAATCACAGTGAGAGGAGCAAGTTCTGACTAGGACCTTTTGATCTTTCTCTTCCTCCTGTTTGTTATCTCTAGGAGTAAGAAGGCAAGGCTGACTTATCCATAGCTGGCCTCTTAGAACAAGACGTTAATTGGCAATGCTGTATAAAACTCAGATGTAGGAGAAGGGGTAAAAATCAAAGCTTCTACACCTTCCATTTGGAATTCCTGCAGCAGTTTTACCAGGTTGGTACCATTTCACTTACCTCTTTATTACAAACCATTTTGTTGTTGTCTGCTTCATGCTTAGGGCTTATAATTTCATGGTGTGGATCGTATCTTTGTCATTAATTCATTTCAACAAATATTCGTTGAGTCCTTACCATATACACAACTTTGTGACTATGCCAGGCAAAGGAACAAGAAAGATGATTAATACATTTTCCTGGTCTGAAGGAGCTTAAAATCTGGCTGCAGAACATTTCCAGTGCTAGGAATTTTTCCTACAGAGACGCTCACAAAAGTTCACCAAGTTGGGACATCTGGGTGGCTCAGTCGGTTAAGTATCTGACTCTTGATTTCAGCTTGGGTCATGATCGAAGAGTCATAAGATCGAGCCCTGCATGGGGCTCCACACTGAGCATGGAATCTGCTTAAGATTCTCCCTCTCCCTCCACCCCTCTGCCCCACCCTGCTTGTGAATGCATGCTCTCTCTCTAAAAATAAATAAATAAAAGTTCATGTTACAAGGATATTCACTGCAGCCTTGTAATAGGAAAAAAAAAAAAAAACAAGTGTGGGGGGGACAACCTAAATGTCTAGCACTACAGGACTGGTTAAATTATAGTTCACCATACAGTTCACCATACAACACCCTATTAGCCTCTCTTAGCCAGGGTCCTCATCCAAACCCCAGAAAACAGAAAGTGATTCGAGTAACTCTGCTTTTTCCTAAGGATCGTACATGACTACTATCATTCTGAATGCATAGGGGAGAAGTTAATTCATGACATACATTGTGGCCTCAGAGTATTAAGACTTAATTCTTTAATGGGACCCAAGTTAGTATGGAAATACCTGCGAGATGTAGTATAAAGTGAGAAAAGCAAAATGGACAACAACATGTCCCTTTTGTGTAAATAACAAAGATACTCTATCTGCTTATCAGGGCAGAGAGTTAGGTAAACAGAGGCTGGCTGCTGGGCCCAGTGAACACCGAGACCTGGTGACAGGCCTTGGTTCCTGGAGTCTAGTTCATGCAGATAACAGGCCAGAGAGGTGGATCCTCTGTCCTTGGCACAAGCCAGCCCTGACCTCTCTTCCCTTCCTCAGGCCCTTTTCCATCTGTTAGATGGGGCCCCGCTAATTTGTCAGTTTGAGGATGGATTTAGTGTATGTTCCACAGGAATGAAATCAGTAGGAAAATAAATCTGAGGGAATTTCCATTTGGTCCTGACTTCTACTCCACATGGCCCCTGCCCCATCAGCCTTACTCTGGATTGTGTTTCAGGCCATTCCTGTGCATTTACAAATAAAACCAGGCTGCTCTGGGCATGCTTCTGAGGTGACGCCTGGAGCCCCGCACACTTGGGCCAGAGATTGATATGGTGTGTGCACGCCAGGGCCAATACAACTCTTTTGATCTATTTCTGAAGGCAGCTTCTTGCCTCCTGCTTCAAGTGATTGATTAAGTTAGGATCTCTTTTACGAATTCTCTCCACTCGTGCCTCCTCACAGGCTCACAGCAAGCCCTGCCAAATTTTACTTTCCTTTTATGCTATAGATTGTTCTGTTCCAAGTGAGTACATGGAAACTATGTTCTTAATATGCAGTCAGTTACCTAGTCCTTTATATGCAATCAGTTACCTTGGAATTCCTGTTTTGCATTCAGTTTGGTATGGGCATCCTCTTATCACATCATTAGTCATGTTTCTAGCAAGGCTTTGGCCTTATGGTTAGAGAGTAGCTTTGCTTCAGAGCTTTCCTTCCCCTGTGCGCCCCCACCCCCATTTTGATGTGAGAATCACTGGGGAATCAGAGTGATACCATTTGTTTTAAAACAAGCTAGTGCACATGTTCGTAGACTTTTAAAGACCTTAGAATGTAAGTGGACTCATGCAATGTTCTTTAGGCCCCAGCTGGAGAAGGGGACCTTGGATCAATGGGTGTTGGTGGGTGGAATGGAGATCCAATGTATTCCAAAAAGTACCAGCTCTTCCGGTCATGCAGACCTGGCTTTATCTCCTGCCACCAAGCACAGTGTTTGCTTATAAAAACTGAGATTATACTTCCCATCGTGCATGAGCAGTGAGGAAGACTGGAGTGAATGAGGGAATTCCCATCACCACTTCTAAGTCCTCCATCTACCCCCCCAAAGCTTATATTGTCTTTTCCGAAGTGGCCCATCCTATAGCGTAAGTGAGTCTGGTCCTTAGTGAAATGACTTTATCTGGAGATCTTTCTTCCTTCTTTTCTGTGGCCCTCACAATTCCTGGTGTCCCTTCACCATACACCAAGACTTTCCTTTGGTTTCCCTGGACCTTTGGTGAAGTCTCATTTAATTGTGTATATGATAATTAGGATAATAACATTCTATTAGCTTATTGTTTATATGTTTATCCATTCGCTGATTTACTCACACAACAAATATTTATTAAATGCCTTTAATGTGCTAAGCACAATTCAGGCACTGGGGTTATAACAGTAAACAAGAGACAAAATTCCTGCCCTTGTGGATCTTAGGGAGATAATCAACAATAACAACAACAACAACAAAATATACATATAGTCTCAGGTGGTTAATGTGAAGACCAATGAAACAAGAAAGGAGGAAAAAAGTGACAAGGATGAGGGATTCTTAGGATAGATGCTCTTTGGAAGGTGACATTTGGGTGGAAGCTAGAGTGACATGAGGCAGGAAACAGGGTGATGGGTTCAAGGAAGAGCCAGAAGTCCCATGTGGCTGGGACTCAAAGAAGACTTGGTGGGAAATGAGACATCAGGTAGGATGTTGCAGCTGTGGTAGGGATTTGGGGTCTTTTAGGCAAAAGGGAAAGCCAGGAGTGGGTTTTGAGTGGTGGGAGGACATGGTTTAATTTGACTTTAAAACATCACTATGACCGCTCTGTAGAGAACACATAGTACGGAGCAAGATGGAAGCAAGAAGACCAGCTACATGGCTACAGCAACTCAGGCAAATGTTGGCAGGTTTGCACACTGTTATAATGATTTAGGTAGTGAGAAGTCATCAAATTCAGGATATCTTCTGAAGACAGAGCCAACAGAACTTGCTGAGGGGTGTGTGAGGGAAAAGCTGAGTCCTGGGTTTTGAGCCTGAGCATTTGGGTGAACCGTCATGCTACTTATTGAGAGGAGGAGAAGTATGGGCAGAGCTGGTGTGGGACAGGAATCAAGAGGTGTGTTTGGACATGGGAACCGCGGTATACTTACCAGGCATCTGAGTATCTGGCTCAGGAAGAGACTGAGTCTGGAGATGTAAATAGTGGTATCATCAGGACCTTGATAATACTAGGGCCAAGGGACTGGGTGGAGTTACTCAGGGAAGGAGTGTAGATGGAGAAAAGAAGAGGTCCAAGGAGGGAGCCATGGAGCAATGCCAACATTTATAAACTTAGAAGAGGAAGAAGAGCTACCGCTGAGCAGACCCTTCCTGGCCTAGCAGATTTGTACGTGTCCCCACCTAGTTTCCTGGACCTCCCAGACAAGAACCAGTCTTCCATATCAGGGGCTAAGTCTCCCATCCCACGGTGCCCTTGGGGATGTCATGAATCTAGTCCTGGTGCAGGCCCTGGTGGCCTCCTCCTGCTTTCAGCAGGAGCTCTAGATCCCAAGCAGCTGTTCGGACCTAGAACTGGCAAACTGACGGTTTCAGCCCCACTTGTAATATCATCTCTCTATTTTGTGTTGGAACCAGAGCTGATTGTGTTGTTTTAGCAAGAGTATATGAATATGTTGTGACTCCTTAATCTTCTCTGTCATCTGTGTCTTTTGGGAATATGGGCAAAGGACATTGCGATTCTGACTGGGGCACCAACATTTTGATTTTCAAGGGCTTGTTTTCTGTATGGTTCAACCTCACCCTTTGCAATCTCTCCAACAAATGGTTATCCCTGAGTCACTCACTCACTTAATTTTACTGACAGGTAACTATGTACATTTGCAAAATACAGACTAAGATGTGGCTCTTGCCCTCCAGGAACTTAAACTCAAGCCAGGCAGTTGAAGCCCACAAACAGAACGTGAGGGGGGGCATCAGGGTATACATTCTGGCGTGGATCCCCTCTGCAACAGTGCTTAGCACATAGGAGATCCTCAGCAACTGTGAAAGGCACAAGCCCACTGGGGCTCATCACTGTCCGGTGGCCTAAACTGGTGGGTCCTCCAGAGCAAAGCAAGCAGCCAAGGCAGCTGCCTTGATACCACTATTATGAACAGTCATTAAAAGGTTCCATACTCCTAGTAACAACATAGCCCCTTACTTGGCAAAATGCTCAAGACTATAGCTTAAAAAGTGCTTCTACTCACATTCTCTTAATTCCCACAACTCTGCTGCAAGTATCTGCATTCTCACCTAACAGAAGGAGACACACATTTTTGGAGTGGCCTCCGGGCCTGCTCATGTGTGCCCCCGGGGCGCTGAGGTACCCACCTGGGGTGATTTGGGCAGGCCAATCAGCAATACCAGCTGTTCCCTACTCCTATTGGTCTCCCAGGATGGAAGACACAACAGTGAGGGAGGGAGGTGTGGCAAACTCTGGGGCTAGGCCGCACCATGGTAAGTAGAGGGAGGGGAACCAATGGGTTTGTAAGGCTTCCGGGGTCAGCATGGACGTGTGCTGCTCAGTGGACCAGGGCTGGTATTCCTGGCACATGGGGCATTATGGAGTCAAGCTCTGTCCTTAGACCTCAGTGCCTGTGCCTAGAGGGCTGCTGATCCTGCCAAGGGGCAGACACATGTCCATAGTGCCAAACAGAGGATGGTGCCAAGGCTAGTCTTGGCCACGGGGCAGGACCGGGACCTGGACATTGAGAGGCAACTGCACTTCAGTAGCTAATAAACCCATCGTGGTGCTACAGGGGGCTTGGCTCCAGATCATTTTATCTCCTACCTCACAAGAACGATATCCTAATTTAAAACAAATGCTCAGTTTACCAAATAGAAGAGGAAAACAGTAGATAATAAAACAAAAAGGAGCATGCTCTGAGCCATCTTTGTTTTATTATCA